CCCCTAACTAAAATCTAGTGGAACCAATTGCCTTCAGAAGTCACCTAATTAGTAATTAGAGTCCACCTGTGTGTAATTTAATATCAGTATAAATACAGCTGTTCTGTGAAGTCCTCAGAGTTTTTGTTAGAGAACATTATTAAACAACCAGCATCATGAAGGCCAAGGAACACAGCAGCCAGGTCAGGGATAAAGTTGTAGAGAAGTTTAAAGCAGGTTTAGGTTATAAAAAAATATCCCAAGCTTTGAACATCTCATGGTGCAATGTTCAATCCATCATCTGAAAATGGAAAGAGTATGGCACAATTGCAAACCTACTAAGACATGGCTGTCCACCTAAACTGACAGGCCGGGCAAGGAGAGCATTAATCGGAGAAGCAGCCAAGAGGCCCATGGGAACTCTGGAGGAGCTGCAGAGATCCACAGCTCAGGTGGGAGAATCTGTCCATAGGACTACTATTAGTCGTGCACTCCACAAATCTGGTCTTTATGGACTGCAAAAACGTGTAAGATAAGCAATACTACCACATAGCATATCACATAGTGCAGCACTACATTGGATGACGGTAATATGAATGAAAACACGCATGTAGCTATAATCAATTCACCAGTAAAGATACTTAAATCTGCATATAGAAAAAATGTCCAAATAGCATATAAAGATACTAAATATCCCAAAAGGGACTGCACACAATATTAAAATGATAAGTAATGATAAATAGTTCAATGTTGGTGTAGATAAATAGTCCAGATAGGTGACTCTAATTAGTCCAGTATGAACATATAATCCGGTGACGTGCGGTGAATAGCAAAATTGCACACTCACCAGAAGCGCAATTTATATATGCGCATTTATTACATATATCAGCCAGAGGTCCCCTCTGTAATGGAACAGGTTGCAGCCTGGTATGGAAAACCTCCTCTATGACTCCCTGGCTGAGCTTTATGTGAGGCCAGCATCTAACTCCCCCCAGAATCCCAAGTGACCATCCCAGGTCCAGAGGAGAAAGATCTGTTACCAGACCCCACCGCAGCTAACCTTTAAAGGGGACCTCTGATTGACATCAAGCCGCCCAGATCCATAGAGGAGGTTTTCCTTACCAGGCTGCATCCTGTTCCATTACAGAGGGGATCTCTGGCTGATATATGTAACAAATGCGCATATAAATTGTGCTTCTGGTGAGTGTGCAATTTTACTATTCACCGCACATCACTGGATTATATGTTCATACTGGGATAATTAGAGTCACCTATCTGGACTATTTATCTACATCAACATTGAACTATTTATCATTATTTATCATTTTAATATTGTGTGCAGTCCCTTTTGGGATATTTAGTATCTTTATATTCTATTTGGACATTTTTCTATATGCAGATTTAAGTATCTTTACTGGTGAATTGATTATAGCTACATGCGTGTTTTCATTCATATTACCGTCACCCAAATGTAGCGCTGCACTACGTGATATGCTATGTGGTAGTATTGCTTATCTTACACGTTTTTGCAGTTTTATTGATTTTAGCACTGCATTCTAACCCTGTGCAGGTTATGCGTTTATATTGGTAATGTTATACGTTTATGCCATTTATAATTTTTAGAGCTGCACTACATTTTTAATATTCATGTGTTAGAATGGCCCAGTCAAAGTACGGACCTAAATTCAATTGAGAATCTGTGGCAAGACTTGAAAATCGCTCTCCATCCAATCTGACAGAGCTTGGGCTTTTTTGCAATAAGAATGGGCAAAAATGTCCCTCTCTAGATGCGCAAAGCTGGTAGAGACATCCCCAAAAAGACTTGCAGCTGTAATTACAGCGAAAGGTGGTTCTATAAAGTATTGACTCAGGGGGGCTGAATACAAATGCACGCCACACTTTTCACATATTTATTTGTAAAAAAGTTTGAAAACCATTTATCATTTTCCTTCCACTTCACAATTATGTGCCACTTTGTGTTGGTCAATCACATAAAATCCCAATAAAATACATTTACATTTTTGGTTGTAACATGACAAAATGTGGAAAATGTCAAGGAGTGTGAATACTTTTTCAAGGCACTGTAAAGGAAAAAAAAGAAAAGTACTACACCCACTACATCTAGGAATTAGAAAGCTAAAAAATATAATATTTTTATTTTAGGTTTAATATCACCTAAAGTATGTGTTAAAGAGAAACCCTAGAAAGCCTCCCTCCCACAACTCCATATACTCACCTTACCTGCACTCACTCGAGGCTCCTTGCTCCTCCATAGCCGTTGAGAATACCTGGCACTTTCAAGAATGAAGGAGCATGTGACACCCTCTCTTGTAGGGGTGCCAAGGTCAATCAACCAATTGCTAGGCATTGTCACATGACTGGGGGAGGTGTGAACAAGGTGGACTGTGAACCTTGCTGTAACCCCACACTAAACAACTCTGTTTTACTGGTATATTTCAAAATAATAACTGAACCGATACTATTTATAAGGTTATCCTTTTGGGTATCCTGCAATACTTACTATGATGTTGCATAGGAAAACATTGTGCTTTTTACTACGTGTGTTTTATATAACTTGTAAAACTTTGTAAAAGAATAAAAAGTAAAAAACACACAAATTAAGTCATCATGTCTCAAAGAAATATGTAAAAATATTAAAGAGGAATTGAAGTCTACGTTGTGGTGGGTGGGCTCTTGCCATTTTTGGTTGTAACATGACCAAATGTGGAAAATTTCAAGGGGTATGAATACTTTTTCAAGGCACTTTATTTTCTCTAGTTGATCCTGGTAGTAAGTTTATTCTTCAACTTACTTTAACAGACCAAGCTGTCCTGCAAAAGTGGCAGTTTAACACTGACAGTTGTACTTACAATGGTCAACTTTTATTAATTTATGTAAAACTTTAATCCTGAACAGAAAAAAAAAAACTTTTGCTGTAACTGCTTAAAAAGTGTTAGCTGGAGTTTGGCTTTAGCCGCTTGCTGGCAGCAGAGTGGCCTCCTTGCGTGTGCGCCTGCTGGGGCGTGCTGTGATTCATCATTGCACATGCTGATCACCGGGTCCCAGGCAATGATCACCGGGTCCTGGCTCTGAGCTTTACCGAACACAGCTCTGTGAATGTAAACAACACAGAGCTATGTTCAGCGACAGGGGATCTTGTTGTTTGTTCATTCCCTGCTAAGCAGGCAATGAAAACAACTAGATTCCCAGTAAAAGCAGCACACAGTTCACACATAAACACTTATTAGGCACACATTTAACCGCTTGATCGCCCTAGATGTTAACCCCTTCCTGCCCAGTGTCATTAGTACAGTGACAGTGCATATTATTAGCACTGATCACTGTAATAATGTCACTGGTGGTGACAGTGGCAGTTAGTCAGTTCCCCCCAGGGTCAGTTAGTGTCAGATTGCCTGCCGGTTATAAGTCGCTGATCACTCTTATTAAGAGATTTGATTTTTTTTATTTTGTGATATGTCTTAGAGCAGAAAGTAAAACTTTTTGTTTTTTCAAAATTGTCGGTCTTTTTTGGTTTATATAGTAAAATATAAAAAAACCCAGAGGTGAATACCACCAAAAGAAAGCTCTATTTGTGTGAAAAAAAAATATAAATTTAGTTTAGGTACAGTGTTGGATTACCGCGCAATTGTCAGTTAAAGGAGCGCAGTGTCGCATAGCAAAAAATGGCCTGGTCAGGTAGGGGAAATACCTTCCAGGGGACAAGTGGTTAATTTGTAAGTCAAGTTCATCTAAATCTGTTTGTAAGTCTAACACTACGCTGTCTCCAGATGGACAATTCTGCTGTCCGAAAGGTGTCTACATTGCTTCTCCATCAAGAGTGGAGACACCCTAAGACAGAAAGTGTGTTACTGGCCAAATCACCAGGTTGAAAATAAAGGTAAAAAAAACAAAACCTAAAACAAAATCAGTAATGCAGTCACCACATTTGAGGATTCATAGACTGCAATATATTACTTGTTTTTAGGCTTAATGCCACATTAACCTACTAAAACTCTGCCTGGAACAAACATACATTGCAGAGCTTTCAGCACCGGAAGCTAACAGCCCCTTGCCAAAATCACACAGCGTCTAGATTATGGTGCTGACAATAAAGGCTCCGTGATGATTCCATTGCCCAACAACATTGTTTAGTAAGTTCATCCGCTAGGTACATTTTGGCATGCCTGATGTAAACATAGGGAAATGTAACTCAGTAAGATGAGTCAGAGGGGATGTTTCAATGTAGTGGTTACTCAGCTGCATAAAATATAATATTTACTGAATATTTTTAAGTCCAGGAATGCTTTAGGACTTAAACTGTTCTCTTACATAAAAAAACTTTCAAAGGATATATTGTAATTGATTTCTATGTGTCCAGGTTCTGTTGGAGCCTCAGCTGACTGTAGCTGGCTCTTTTGGCATGATCAAATGTACTGATGAGATTTTTCACATGGGCATTTGAACATCTACCAGTGTAGGTCCAGTTTAGGTCATTGCACATGGCTGGAGCTGCATATTTAGAAGGTATGACTTGCTTTCAGTTTATGATAATTTAATTTACAGTACCCAACACTCAGGTTGGAAGAGGGAGGGGCGGTACTGGAGCCACTTGGAGCCTGCTGAATGGAGAAGAATGCAGAGTCTCTTGCTTCTTTATCACTGTCCAGTTACAGTCTGGGACGGGGCAGTGACCTGGCTGTGTTGCTAAATATTGGCAAGGGAATAGTTAGGTCACAATGCTGGTGATGCAGCCTGGCAGAATTGGGCAAAACTCAGTATCGGGTGGACAGAAACACAAATCCTTCAGAAGGTTAAAAATTTGGAAAAATGTATAATTTTGCATTTGGTGGTTTACCTGGAGCTCAGCTTTACAGCGGCGCCCATATCTCAGCAAAGAGATAATATTTACAATAAAGTAGTACAGAAATCAAAATGTAAAGCAAAGTCCATTGAAGACAGAACATTACTAACCAAAATGTTGTTTCAAAATATCAAGTTGATGTAATTTTCTTTGTTTCCAGGACTTCATGCAGAGATGTCAGCTGTTAAAATCATCTGCAGTGTTCGGGAAATGCCATCATGTTGTTGACCCAGATCCCTTCATCGCCATCTGTGAGAAGGACATGTGTGAATGTGCAGAGGATGTGCGCTGCCCGTGCCAAGCCTTCTTGGAATATGCCCGATCCTGTGTCCAGCATGGCGTAATTATCCACGGCTGGCCAAAGGAAACCAGTTGTAGTAAGTTTAAAACTTATAAACAAAAATGCTGTAGGGCATCCCCAAACCTCATACACATGGGCATCAAAATGATGACCTGCATTTGTCACCCTACCCTCTCAATGCCTACCTTCCCATCCCCCAGCCCAAAACAATCAGTTGAGGAATTTAATAAAGAAAGTTGCTTAGCACAGTGACTGCTGTGTCGTGCTCTGTGCCACCATTAATCAGTCACCACCAGCTGTAGTAGCTTTGTTTTGCCTGCACTGCAGAATGAAGGGATGGATTTTAAGTGGGATGAGCTATGCGATTTTGGCCTTTATGATTTCACAGTAAGACTATGAATCAGAAAGTTTAAATTTTGCGTAAATACGCTTTGTTTAACCCCTTCAGGCGGGGTGGGGTTTATGGTCATGTGACTGCCATGATTGGCTGTCTAGGCAGTCACATGATCGGAAAGGTTCCGTTCGCAAGGAGAGATCAGGACCTTTCCATGGGACGCCGACACATGTGCTGGGAGCGTGCAGGGTGCACGCTCTCAGCACTTGCTTGTTTACAAATGGTACACAAATATGTGGCTGCTCAGCATCAAGGCCCAGTCAGCGAGAGGCTGCATATTTGCATATGCTTGGCGTGAAGAGGTTAAAAAAAGATCTTTTTCCTTGTATAGAGGTGGAGAGTAGTTTAGTTTATTTAACCATTAGCCGCCCGGCCAATGGCCGTTTGGCGGCTTCAGATGTGTCTCTCCATTCCGGGTGCATGCCATTTGGCGTGCTCCCGCACATGCGCCGTTTGCACGAATGCAGAGTGGCGCAGCAGTGCGATCTGTCACCGACCGTGCACCTCGGACACGGCCGATGACAGATCCGAGTACTGGCTCCCATTGCTGGTACCATGTGACCTGCTGTGACCAATCACAGCAGGTCACATGACAGTTGTATGCATGGATGGCTTCATTCATGCCATCCATTGTATACTAGTGCCTAGCTGTGAATGGTCACAGCTAATCACATGCACATGTCATGTGATTAGCTGTGACCAAATCACAGCTAAGCACAAGAAAAAAAAAAAAAAAAAAAAAAAGCTGAATGAATTGATTTCATTCAGGTAAATGCTTGCTTATAGCAAAGTAATTCTTTGCTATAAGCAAATTGTGTGAAAAAAAAAAAAAAAAAATTACTGATCACTTCCCCAAAGTAGTACAATGTTACTATGGTAACATTGTACTACTTTGGTCATAGTAAAATATGAAAAAAAAATCTTAAAAAACAAACAAAAAAAAAATTTAATAAAAAATTAAATATAATAATAAAAAAAAAAAAAAAAAAAAAAAATATATATATATTATTTTTTTTTCATACTGTCACCAGTCAGTGTCCCTGTTCACCACCATGCCAGTTATATGATGACGCTGTACTGCACTGGTGACAGTATGTAAAAAAAAAAATAGTGAAAATAATTTTTTTAATTTTTTCATTTTCCGAAAAATTATGACAAAAAAATACAACTTCAAAAAACTCGCCATTCCTCTTATGAAGTACGTCGGGCTGTCTACTCTGCAAAAAGGGGTCATTTGGGGATATCTGTACTATTCTGACATTCTTGGACCTCAAGAAATTAGATTGGCTGTCAGTACTTCAGGATTGATCAATTTTCAGATCTATACCATAGTTTGTGAACTCTATGACTTTCCTACAAACTAAAAAATACATCCTAATTTGGGTTATTTTCACCAAAGACATGTAGCAGAATACATCTCGGCCTAAATTTATGCAGAACAATTATTTATTTGTAAACTTTTATAACAGAAACAAAGAAAAATGTGTTTTTCTTCAAAATTTTTGGTCTTTTTTGGTTAATTTAGCAAAAAATAAAAACCCCAGTGGTGATTAAATACCACCAAAAGAAAGCTCTAGTTGTGTGAAGAAAATGATAAAATTTTAGTTTGGGTACAGTGTTGTATGACCGCTCAATTGTCATTCAAAGTGTGAGAGCGCTGAAACCTGAAAAATGGCCTGGGCAGGAAGGTGTAAAATTGCACGGTATTGAAATGGTTAAAGTATAGCAGTAGCAAATGTGTCAAACACTCCTTGCTAGTATACACCAATCAGCCATAACTTTACAACCACCCACCTAATATTAAATAGGTCCCCCTTTTGCCACCAAAACAGTCCTGAACAGGGGCGGACTGACCATTTGGAAACTCGGGCACTGCCCGAGGGCCCGGGGTCAGTAGGGTGCCCCATGACATGCCCCTGGTACCTTTTTACATAGGCTTTTTTGAGTTTGGGCAAGGACACAGGGGCCCCATGGCCCCTATTGCCCGGGGGCCCCATGAGTTGTCAGTCTGCCCCTGGTCCTGAACCATTGAGGCCTGGTTGCCACTAGACCTCTGAAGCTATGCTGTGGTATTTGGCACTAAGCTGTTGGTAGAAGATCCTTTAAGTCCTCTAAGTTTCAAGATGGAGCCTCCATTGATTGGACTAGTTTTTTCAGAACATCTCACAGATGCTCGATGGATTGAGATCTGCATAATGTGGAGGCCAAGTCAACACCTCAAACACATTGTTTTGTGGTTTAAACCAGAATTGAACAATTTTTGCCGCGTGGAATGGCACATAATCCTGCTGAAAGAGGCCACTGCTGTCAGAGAATGCCATTTCATGGAGGGTTTGCTTGGTCACCAACAATGTAAAAGTACGTGGTAAGTGTCAAGTAACATCCGCATGAATGGCAGAACCCAAGGCTTCCCTGCAGAACATTGCCCAAAGCATCCTACTGCCTCTGTCAGAATTGCCTTCTTCTCATACTGCATCCTGGTGCCATCTCTTCCTTAGGTAAGCGATGCACATGCACACAGCCATCCACATGATATAAGCAAAAACGTGATTTATTAGACCAGGCCACCTTCTTCCATTGTTCCATGGTTCAGTTATGATGCTCATGTGCCAATTGTAGGTGCTTTGGCAGTGGACACGGGTCAACATGGGCACTCTGACTGGTCCGCAGCTACACAGCCCCATATACAACAAATTGGGTTGCCCATTTTTCTTCTTTCAACTCTACATCTTCAGGGACAACAAGTTTACTTGCTGCCCAATATATCCTAGCAACTTTCAAATGCCATTGAAACAAGATAATCATTGTTCTTGACTTAACATGTCAGTGGTTATAAAGTTGTTTACTGGTGTATAGTTTGTAGTCTATTTGTGGTTTGCAAAGGGAATGCTATATGTAATCCCTATAATAAATATCTAATTAATTTGTAGCACTAAAAGTGAGACTTGTTATTTCTCTTGAGTCTTACTAATTTAGCCAAGTCAATACCAAATAAAAATACTGAATAGGGTGTGTGCGCCTAACATACAGTACATAGCACTGAGCCCTAGCAGCTGTATGAATACCCTTAAAAGGGTATACATATAATAATAGCATATAAGTACAACACTAAAACACTAACTACTATAAAGTATATAAAATGAGCAATATATATATTGCCAAAAGTATTGGTACACCTGTCTTTACACGCACATGAACTTTAATGGCATCCCAGTCTTAGTCCGTAGGGTTCAATATTGAGTTGGCCTACCCTTTGCAGCTACAACAGCTTCAGCTCTTCTGGGAAGGCTCCCTCCACCAAACTTTACACTTGGCACAATGTGGTCAGGCAAGTACTGTTCTCTTGGCAACTGCCCCAGACACATCTATTGGATTTCTAGACAAAGAAGCATGATTTTTCACACCAGAGATCAGTGCTTTACACCACTGCATCTGATGCTTTGCATTGAAATTAGTGATGTAAGGTTTAGATGCAGCTGCTCAGCCATGGAAACCCATTCCATGAAGCTCTCTATGCACTGTCGTTGTGCTAATCTGAAGGCCACGCAAAGTTTGGAGGTCTTTACCTACTGACTCTACAGACAGTTGGCGACTTCTGCGCACTGTGCTTTTCAGCATGTGCTGACCCCGCTCTGTCATTTTATGTGGCCTACCACTTCATGGCTGAGTTGCTGTTGTTCCCAGTTGCTTCCACTTCATTATAATACCACTAACAGTTGACTGTGGAATATTTAGTAGCAAGGAAATTTCACGGATGGACTTATTACACAGGTGACAACCTATCATGGTACCACACTTGAATTCTGTGAGCTCCTGAAAGCAACCTATACTTTCACAAATGTTTGTATAATCATTCTGCATGCCTAGGTGCTTGATTTTATACACCTGTGGTCATGGATGTGATTGGAACACCTGTGTTGTTCTGAGGCTGTATTTTTGTTTTGTCAGCCCACTTTCCCAGGTTTTAGGTCTTTTGGTTATAGCACCCTCTAACCTTTTCCTATTGCTTCCTCTGATTCCCCCCCCACCTGTTTTAAAAGCCAACTTTTTGACAATCGTCTCTCCCAACAGAGCTGCACCCTTCCCATTGCAATTCATCCCTACTATAGAGCTGGTAAAAAAATGAGAAGTCAGCCCAGTTCTCCAGGAACCCAAAACCCTCTGAGAATAACACCTTGGAGGTCCTTCTCTTCAATATAGCCCCTAAGTTCCTGAAATGATTTTAAGTACACTCCATCTTCCTCTAACTTTGTCATTGGTCCCAATGTGCACCATGACAGCTGGGTACTCCCCAGCCCCCACCCAAAAATGTATCCATCCGATCCATGTTATGTCAAACCTGAGCGCCCAGTAAACAACATACTGTTCAGTGATTGCGGTCTTTGTGACAGATTGCCCTGACTGTCCTCCTAATAATTGAGCCTCCTACCACCAGCATCTGCCTAACCTTGCCTGTATCCTTGCTCCACTCCTTACTGGAGTAGTCATTCCCCAAGCAGCTAGGGGAGGGAGATCATTCCAGCCAGGCCACCCCTGTGCTGATATCCCCAACATCATGGACCTTGGCATATTTGTTGGGATGTTCCAACTCAGGACTATCCTCTTTAAGGCTCTTCCCTCTACCCCTCCTTCTAACCATCAACCAGCTACCTACCTCTGGCTCCACAGAAGCAACTTGCTCA